AAAAAAAAAAAAACAGGGCTCTCCTTTATTCCCAGACTTAATAAAGTCTGTCATTCACTGCGTTGTTGCCCGCCATCTACGGATCTTGATCTCGAAAATGATTGTTTACTGTCTGAATGCGATATACATGTAAGAATAGAGGTGGAACTAACCTTAATGGTGTCTAACTCTTATTATTTAGCCGTCAAGTCAAGAATCACTGTTGCATAATTTTATCTAGACCCTATGAAAAGAGCTTTACTCAGCTAGCATTATCTGTAGAAAGTTTCACAGTTATTCATTGTGTTTTTTAGTTATGCCGCCAAGTACCTCGATACTTCTGATCCAAACAGTTTTGGGAAGGTGTTCAAGAAAGCTGTATACAGGGAATTCACGGACGATAGCTTCACCAAAGAAAAACCCCATTCGAAGCACCTTGGTACGTTCACCGTACTGTGCATTGTATGCAAGCAGGGGATAGAGGGTAGGGGTAGGGGGGGGGCACGAGAAGGGAGGGGGCGGGCAAAATCTTAAACAATGGTCGTTGAATAAGTGGCGATTGTAGTTTAAGTAGTTAAACTAAAACAAGGTGGTTATTATCTATAGCTGTAGATTGGTGTTTATAGTTTAACAAAAATTATCACAAAGGCCGTGTAAATTATTATTATTATTACACGCTATCATTTTTCAAAAAAAAAAAAAAGAGAAAAAAAAAACGTTTTGGTATTTCTTGTCGCTTAAGGTCTACTGGGTCCGACCCTTCGAGGCCATATCTCCGACATCATCCGGATCAAATTTAAAAACATGGGCAGTCGAGCCTACACTATGCATCCCCACGGCGCCGCCTATCTGAAAAAACACGAAGGTATGAAAAAAAGGTTCATTTTGGATAAATCCGTGGAAAACTTTTGCTCCTTGACTAAAAGAGACCTGGCAGAGGCAACAACAGCTAGTCGGCTAAACAATTACACCATATCCTTCACACTCATTAATATTAATATTATATTATTATTATTACTACTTCTACTACTACTACTATTACTAGGGGCTCTGTATACTGACGGCACATCAGGAGATGACAAACTGGACGACAGGGTGATGCCTGGAGAAACCATCACTCTCGACTGGCTGCTGTCAGATGAGCTTAAGGGTGCTCCTGCCACGGGTGACCCCGACTGTCTTCCCTGGACATATCACAGCCATCTTAACCCCATTGTCGACGTGCAGTCGGGGCTGATGGGAATCTTGGTGATATGTAGACCAGGTGACTGTCATTTGCCGTTTAACTGTGCTTCTATTTTTTTCTCTTGTATTGTATTAGAGGTATTGTAGACGGGGCTTTCGCGTCAGATCTGTTTTTTTTTTTCGAGAGAAGCAGTTTTTGTCTGTTCTCAAATCATTATTGATGTTTTATACGAATAAAATATTCGATTTTTTTTTTTTTTTTTGGGGGGGGGGGGGGTATCATTTAAGGTCCAAACATAAGCTTTTGGGATATTTTTTATAGTATACGCTTAGCTAATTTAATTCTACATGGACTACCTTAGATACTCTAGGCATGCTGCTGATATTTTGAACTGCTGACAACTTTCTCAATGCGAATTTTATGGCCACAGATTTTGCTTTCTGTCAAATATTTGGGATTATTCTTCATATTTTTTCTTGCCATAATATATTTGTATTTGTTACACATTTAGGCACCCTGGACGATGACAACGAACGGCGTGACGTGGACAAGGAGTACATATTGCTATCACACATCATAGACGAGTCAGCGAGCTGGTACTTCCAGGAGAATGTGGCAAGGCAAGTACTTTACCACCTGAAAATGTGTGTAAAAACTGTTTGAAATCACTTAGGACCTTTCGGAATCGAGCGGTACACTTATAAACCGGACCAGTGTAACGAAACCGGATCCGTGTGACAGAAGGTTCACCCTCCATTTAGTTATAACGGTTAGGGTTATAGCCTGCCCTAAGTGGCCCAAAATATAAGGCTAGTCTTACCTGTACAAATCGATGGGAAGCGAACCTTCTGTCTAGGGGGACTCTCTGTCACGTTTAATGATTACACCGGCCCATTCTGAGAAACTTACAAGCCAATCGCCAGGCTACTGCGTAAGAGAGTCACCTCTTGGAGCCTCGTTTTCGACACGGTCTAAACATCAAGAAGCGAACTTGTGTGTTTTTTTTTTTTTGTTTTTTTTTGGTCTTGGGAAAATAACTCCCTGTTTTGCAACGCATGTTTGGTTCACAAAAAGTTAACGGTCCAGAGAAGATATATTTCGGCGTTACAAGAGTTCATGTAATAATAGTATTGGGAATGATATCTTTTTGAGCATTAAATGCTTTACGAAAATTATGGAATGAGGTAGCCTTTTTTCTACCTAGTCCCAAAACTTTCTCAAAAAAAGAAGGCTCCCACACGTGCCACATAATGATGAGGAATCTTCTGCTGTCTTGTCCACTTCTGCCACACATTTAACAGTATTCTAAACCATCTGCAGGTTCGCACCACAAGCAGACCAGAATTCTCCATCGTTCGCCACCAAGTTCCACACTATCAACGGCTACATCTACGGGAACGTCCCCGGCTTGGAGGCTTGCTCTGGTGACAGAGTGGCGTGGTACATGATAGGACTGGGCAACGAAGACGATCTTCACTCCCTGACCATCAACGGTCATGTATTGGAGTATAATCATCACAGGTGAGGGGGGTGTAGGGGGTAGGTGGGGGTTGGAATATCAAGGGGGTGAGTACTCTAATGATTCCCAACATTTGGAAATTATTGCGTTGACCAGACCTGGTGACTGTTGTAAATCGTCACAGGTGACAGTTGCTGGAGCCTCGTGGCCATGACGGGATAGGGGTGGAGGGTGGGGGTCGGGGATGACTTATTTTTCTTAGCATAACTCAAATCAACCCTTGTTAAGTTGTTGAGTCAAAATTATATAATCGTATTTATAGATTTTTCATTCAAGTTAATTGCTTGTTTATTTGTATTTGTTTCATTACTTAAATTATAACTTGTCGTGTGCTCGTATCACCCGTTTTATGTCCCTTCACAATTCTTCCAGAATGTATTATACAGGTTATACACCTATAGCAATGTATGGACTGTACATGTCTTCACCAGTATAACTCTATGCATATCTCTCTCATAGTGCTTGAATTATTTATCATACTTTTTGCTGTACCAGTATAACTGTACAGCTCAGACACTTAAGGTCATATCCTTTGTAACAAATTCGCTTGTACGACAACACAATATCAATATCACTATGAAAGTTATTCGTTATTTTCAGAACTGATGTTATCGCGCTATTCGCCGCCAAGTTCTCAGCAGCGTACATGACGGCGGGAGATGTGGGAAAGTGGATTATCAAATGTCAAACGGCTGATCATCATCTTGGTAAACAATCACAGAAACACACCACGTATATAAAGGCACATGCTTCGTATCTTAATATTGTCAATACTAGCAGGGGAAAAGCACTCTTTTTATATCCACACCACTGTGTGACAGAAGGTACAAAAACATTGTGCCGGTATGTTTTCGCTGAATAAAACCGTCATTTTACTATCAATGTGTGACACCCCGAAGACCCTCCATCATGCTATGACACTTCAATTCCCATGTTGAATAATAGCTATCCCTTCATCCACTTACTGAATACATCACTTTGGTCATTTCAGAGGGAGAGCAGGCGTTCCTTCACGTGAGCCCCTCGTGCGGTAAACCCCCTCCTTACGACTTTCTGGGTGGCCATACCCGGACTTATTACATCGCAGCGGTGGAGAAGCGATGGAGTTACGACGGGGGTTCCGGATTGAACGGATACGAACGTGGATTAGCTTTCCTCAAAGACCCAAGCCAGTAAGTGGTCTTATGGTGTTTCCCAAAATCGTCTCAAACCGTTTCCATAATTGCAAGTGCAATTTATGTTGATAGATTTTGTAATAAAAAAATTGAATAATGTATAAGAACAACATTTGGTATGAATATTTCTCTAATTACAGAGAATCCAGCAAATACTTTACAAAAAATTCAAACCGCATAGGCGGTACGTACTGGAAGATCGTATATGAAGAGCATACAGACGACAAATTTACGACGGTAAAACGAAGACCACTGTCCAAATACCATTATGGTCTTCTTGGCCCCGAGATTGCTGCCCAGACAGGAGACACTATTAAGGTATGGAATTTAGTCCTGCAAGGCCTGCTTCATAAAACGTCTGGAGTCTATTTTATTGGGTTATCAGGACCTTGTCGACTGCGAGGTGTTTCAAAAAATAATCTTAAAGGCAGCTCACCTCTTTTTAGTCGGGCTTTGAGCAGCTAGGGGGCAATTAACACCAATAAACACGACAGTTAAATACACCCCAGCTGCTCGAGGGAGCGTGACAGACAATTAAACCGATTTCACATATTGCACTTAGCGTGAATGCCCCCAAAGTTGGGTCGATCAATGTAGTCCGATAGATTGTATGGGAATTGGGTCTTCGTAGTTACAGTAATCCATGTGGTTGTGTCTAATACATGTACATTTATTGTGGGTCAGTCATTTTGGAGATCTCGTAGACGATACTGTAATGTCGACATTGCAAAGTTTAGAACACCAGAACTTAAGATTATTTGCGAAACAGATACAGGGTAATTTTCTATCTTTGGTCTCTCTGGATGTAGCCTAATATGACGGTGACCTACTTATAACTGTGATCAAATCTACAGTTTCAGCATTTTCAAAATCTGATATCCAGAGAAATTGATGGCGAGAAATAAATAAATAAATATAAAACTAAAATAAACACAGAAGCTAGATTGTCACAGCCTTTCTGCTTTCTGTTTACAGGTTGTTTTCAAAAACCTTGCGCCCAGCTCGGGAAGACGATTTTCCATTCATCCCCGTGGAGTGAAGTACGACAAAGAAAACGAGGGAGAGGATTACAATGACGGCACACCAGGTGCGTTGTTGTTGTTGTGGTCAATGTTTTTGAATACTATTTGGACTACGCTATTAAAATAGCGAATTTTGCCCATGTCACATTCCCTCAAAATCTCAATGGGCCTTACAAATCAAAAGCGAAAAACTACCAATTGTTTATTAAAAGTCTACAATGACGGAACACCAGGTGGACCAAGCTATATATAATAGTTTTTTCAATGGCGCATTCCATTAAAATCTCAATGCGCCTTACGAGCCAAGAGCGAAAATTACAAATTGCCTATCATTAGTCTAAATTTTACGAATCACTATTTATAATGAATATATATTTATAGGAAGAAATATTTAAAATAATTAAAGTTTCTTTATCAATTACTATATATTTAAATTTAAGTATAAGGTCTCCAAAAATTTTACAAGACATTTGCAGTTCTTACATCAGTAGGTAAAGTACTTCGTAACTTTGTTGCGTATATTGTAAAATTTCCATTTACCAAACAATTTGTATTTGCCCTTCACCCACTGTCAGCACTGATCTCCTAATGGTGCATAAATTGTTTATTTGGCACAACCAAGCTCCTTTTCCCAGAAGTTAGAGCAAAAACAATCAAATACGACTTCTTTGCAAAATCTAAAACCCATTAAATATATGCTAGTTTGATTAATAATTCCTTATAGCTTTACCATTTTGTTTCCTGGTTTTACACATTTGTTACTGTGCATTTTAATCTGACCACGAATGGCCATGAACTGACAAATTTCACGATTCGTGGTTGAATCGTAATCAGTTCGTGAAGTTCTTAACAGATTCGTATATAATCGAAGTCAGTTCTTGCAATTCTTGATCAAGCGGGAATTCGTGGCAAAGACTTTGAGCTGTTCAAAGTTTTGGCCACGAACTCCCGATTCCAAAATGTCGTAGTGAATTTCTGGACAATATTCGTGCGATTCCAGCCGAATCCCACGAATATTCTTTACACTATCGCACCTGTATCGTAACTGAATCGTAGAGCGTGTCGAATAAGACCAGAAAATTGGCAAAATCTCACGAATCCTCACGAATCCTGAAATTTGTCAATTCCTGGCGATTCGTGGTCGGTGTTCAATAGGGGCCTTAGCGAAATAGACTTGCCATATCTTTTTCTACAAGAATTATCGATCAACTCTATCAAGGGATAGAGAAACCTCAATTATTATTTGAATGGTGAAGATGTTATTTTTTATTATCATTCTAGACGGTGGAGTGGGCTATCAACAAACCCGCACCTACACGTGGACCGTGCCTGAGTCCTACGCACCGGAGCGCGCAGATTCAAAATGTATCACATATATGTATCACTCCGCCATTGACCCAGTTAGAGATGTGTTCTCAGGTCTGATTGGTCCGTTGGTTGTTTGCAGACGAGGAGAATTGGCAAGGGTAAGCGTTCTGACAGCAGAGGCGGTTTTTGTACTAGTAGTTATTAATCGTGTGATCACTGTTTTTGGTACAAATAAGATGTACTCTTAAGACACATTTTTAATTCTATATTCACATTATTTTGAGGGAAAAAAGCATATGTCACGATGCCTGTTCAGATTTTTGCAGTCTTCGCATATTTAATACGTTCATTTTTTTGTTTTACTGATGCGTAATATATAAAAAGGGTTTATAAAAAAGCAAATATCATCAACTCTACTTTATATGAACACTTCTAAATTACCTTTCAGCGAGGCATGGAGTTCACTCTGCTCTTCGCCAATTTCAACGAAAACCTGTCATGGTTACTGGAGAAGAACATCTTGGAGTTTGCCTCCTCCTCTGCATCGAGCTCGCCCGGATTTGAGGAATCAAATATCATGAGCAGTGAGTGTTTTTTCTGACTAACTTCTTTATTTGATTCATTATAACATATGAATATACAATAATTGGCTTTGATTATGTTCACCTCGGGGATATACAGGTGCTGGAACCGAAGACGGTATAATTGAACAACGCCGACGAAATTTTGTCCTAAAGAAAACGCATATCAGTCTATGTAATATAATCATTTTAGTTCTTATTCTCTTATACCATTTAATATTCTATTGTCTTACCATTTTATGGACTCTACTGGGTAGGTGAATCTACAATCTTTTGATTTTAATTTTGAATTATTATCCTTATAATTACTATTATTTAGGCATCAACGGATATTCGTATGGCAACCTGCCTAAACCAACAATGTGTTTAGGAGATCAAGTGACATGGCGTCTGCTTGCCATAGGAAACGTCATTGACATGCATATCCCTACCTTCAGTGGCAACACGTTCACGAGATTTGACGGGAATACGCGAGACGCCGTGTCCCTGTTTCCCGGTACAACAGAGACAATCTCTATGAAAACTGTAAATAAAGGTAGACGCCAATGTTACTTGTCAATGTCAAACAGCGAGAATTTTCAATGTTTCAGACCGATTTGTCTATTTAAGTTGGTAAAAAAGAAAATCATTTAAATAATATTTAAGATACGCAGGACACGGTTGTTAGAGATGACGTTTGAAATTGTTGCTGTCAAAAATAAAAAAAGCATACTATATATGCGACACACTGGTGACAAACTATGCATTTTCTTGGAATCCACTTAGCCGAGATTCCAAAAAGCATCTTGCCTAGATATATACCCAATCTGCCCCACTTTGTCTTTCACTGTGATATATTTATCTATTCCTTGCTATCTGTAGGAATATGGAGTCTGATAGACGCTAGCGATGACAACAATGTGGCCGGAATGGTGGCGCTCTACAAAGTGGATCAGTGTCATTTCTTCCTTAAGCATCCTCTTGCACACTCGGAGAAAGGTATGTAAAATGCGTGTTTATATTAAAAGTTTTTTGTTTTATAACTACATTTGTAAATGTCAATATTAACGCGATATATGGCTTGAACTCCTGTCTCGCTGAAAGTCGAGCTGGACTTGCATATATCGCTTGGGTGTCAGTATATTATCTCATATTAATCTCTCATACCCGACATATGTTCTCTGTGTCATAGGCATCACTCGTACGTACTATATAGCCGTGGTGGAGAGAATGTGGGAGTATGCGCCATGGAGATTTGACCTGATTCTCGGAAAAAGTATCACAGACCCTTCCAGGTACCTTATAATAATAATAATAATAATAATAATAATAATAATAATAATAATAATGTTTAACGTCAAGAATGATCATAATGATTATCATGTTCTTGAAAAAATAATAACAATAATAACGGCGAAATTTCTGGTAAATCTTATCTCAATATAAACATTTTCAGTAATAAAAAAATATGTATATGGAATCTAAAATAAGAGCAAAATGACTGAATGTCCGCTCTGAATCAAAATTTGATCCATTTGATCCAGGTACTGTGGCATTCCTTATGTTTGACCGACTAAATAGAGGGCTGAATACATCTACTTTTTCTTAAAAAAAAAAGATAAAATAATTACTCCTGTTTCTACTGCTATATCTTGGATTGAAGCAAATCTAACTTTTGAGTGGCTGGATTCCCATAACTAGATCGATCAAACAGGATCGGTCCATCTCCAAGGGGTTTCTCGCTAAATTGCTTTCAGCTTAAGCGGCTCAATGTCTGGTACGCCTACTAAAGCGGCTAAACGATAGTTATTTACCCCCTATCAGCCATTTAAGCCGCTTAAGTTAGTTGCAATTTAGCGACAATCCCCTAGGAGATAGATCTACCCAAAGTTAGTACGATAGGGTCTGGAAATGGTCTCTTATTTCCAGTACGATGTACGTGTTTGCTCGTACTGATTGGCCATTCCTTGGTACCCGGTATAAAAAAGCTTTGTACAGAGAGTACACGGACGCCACCTTCACCGTGGAAAAGACTCGAAGTCCCGAGGAAGAACACCTTGCTATCATGGGGCCTTTCATAAAAGCAGAGGTCACAGATACCATCAAGGTTTGTTTTTTTTTGTTTTTACTATTGTTTCACGCTTTTTTGTTTCTTTTTTCTTTACCTCAAACAAACTTTACTATAATAACTCTATGTAGGAGGTCTATATTTCACAATAAAAACATTGTGAAATATAATATATTCTGTTTTACGACAAAAACAGCAGTTATAGCTATTTTTCTGATATATTTGAGCTTGTCTTCAGACCACGTGACCTCCATTGATGGCTATATTCTGTTATAATCTCTTAAGAGATTTTAGCAAAAAAACAAACTTTTTAGAAATAAGACAGGGACTAACTTTGAATGTACAAATGGATTCATTAACCATTGGTAAGTATGGGAAAATTGTTGTTTACTCCAGGAAAATTCATTTTTTGGCCAAAACGAAGAGTTATTATCCCTTTAAGGAAACACGAAGTACCTTGAAAGTGCACTATCACACCTGTTTTTAAAACTGTTCTTTTACTAAACCAAAAGTAATCCATAATCATGGGTAGGTTCTTTGCAGACAGTATATAGTACGATAAAGCAATGTTTATTTTGTTAACATTTGATATGAGGTAAACATACACTCTGTCGTCTCTAAAAACATTTATGCTGAAAACGCTGTCCTATTCGCATGCCAGCGTTCTTCATATGTCTTTTCTTTTCTGCTGTCTGTTTTCAGGTCGTATTTAAAAACATGGCATCGCGCCCGTACTCAATTCACCCCAACCTTGTGATGTATTCCAAGGAAGACGAAGGCCACGCCTACAAAGATGGGGTCAATGTAACAGCGGGAGTGCCCCCTGGTGGCATAAAAACTTACACGTAAGCTTCCTAGTCTTAACAGATCTCGGCCCAGAGAGTATAGATAGTAAAATGAATGAATGATTATCTGTTTTATTGTAAAATATGGAGCAGTATGTAATGGCAAAACTGAATAGATATTAGTATCCAAGTACAGTGTATATACCGGGCACTCCATACAAGATGACACTACACTACAATATGATTATATAATACTAATATATAACCATATAATTAACCAAGATGAGCAGCCTATGTTCATGTAACATTTTTCTTGAATAAGAGAAATAGCAATTAAAATTTTAAGGCAAGTAAGAAAAGAAAGCTTGCCCAGAGGAAAATAACATAAATAAATACTACCTTTTTTAGATGGGAAGTACCGAAATCCTCTGGTCCTGGCAAAAACGACCCAAACTGTATCAGCTCTGCCTACCGTTCTGCTGTTAACTTGGAGAAAGACTTGGCATCCGGTATGGTTGGACCTATGGCTCTTTGCAGGAAAGGTAAATGCATGAATTAAATTAATTAATTTATTAGTTAATAAACTACGGGTAATTAATGCCCGCCTTAAAAATGAAAGTCTTAAAAAAGAACATATGTACAGTAGTTATCGTTACCCTTCACAATTAAAATTAGTGCTTGGGCAACAACCACAATATCGGCAGTCATATAATTTAAAACATTTCATCAGTTTTATTGAATGAACGGTGTAAATACATTTGAAAGCCACAAGTCAAGTTAAGGAAGTAAATATGTAATGTGATTATTCGTGTGCAATGAGAACGACTGTCATTTCGCACTGCGAAAACAGAAAACCGCATCCATTGGAATGCTTTTAATGACGAGCATGTTGTGTTTTAAAAATAAAATCAAACTTTAGTTTAGATTTTTACGAATTTAAATCAACTGACATTGCTCCAGGTACACTCTCCGAAAACAAGCGTCGCGATGTGGAGAAAGAAATCGCTACATTATGGACCATATTCGATGAGAACGATAGTTGGTATCTTGACGAAAATATCATGAGTCATCCACAGTATCCCGGTTTTTTGCCAGACAAGACTGACGCAGAATTCCTAGAAAGCAACAGATTCCATCGTATGTAACTTATTTTTTCCTTGTTTTTTATTTTATTCATTTCATTTGTTTATGTGACCCGAATACCTTAGGAATTCTACGTATAACGTGATAATATAGACAATTTACTTACCTTTCTTTCTTCTTCGCTTCCTTTGTTTACACGGTAGATTTGTCCCTACGGGACTTTCCTATAGAACCTTGCGGGACTCCGCAAGAAACCTTCAGGTCTATATAGGAATTAAATCAGTCCATGGGACGTTCTATAGGTTCCCTATGTAAAAATGTCTTATAGGGTCCTATATGATTTTGGACCAATTTTCTTTGAATTGGGGTTTTACAGGGCGCTATAGAAAATTTCCGTAAGAGTGTGTAAATGTTTCTGTTTATGTTTGGCTCCTGAGCGATGATGTTGATTATTTAAAAATGTATCTGAATAATTTCTTGTTGTCTTTTCCATGATGAAGCTATCAACGGGCTTATCACGGCCAGAGACCCAGGGTTTAATATGAAGGAATGCGACCTCGTGGCCTGGTATTTCATTAGCTTCGGGGGTCGCGTGGATATCCACACGGTGCACTTTCACGCGAACTCGTACATCTGGAACACGGAGAGCGCACACAGAGGAGATACGCTTGAGGTAATATTTTAGTGTTTGTTTGCATAAATTTTCCAGTTTAACAAGAATCAAAGCCCGCTTAGAACCGCAGTCCGTTTCTATATTATTCATCACAAGTGACGTTAGTCTGATTTGTCCCATACTGACTCAGACACTTCTCTCTAACCATATCCTGTGCTAATGCATTATGGGATCTTGGACTTCCTTTACTTAAGAGTACCATTCCTGCGAAACCGTAAGCAAGCAAGGTATTTGGCCATTCTCCAAAGATAAAAGCGGGTAATTGCCTTTGCTCAATATTCCTTGAAAAAATTGTTTGATGCTGATCTACAAATCACATAAAACATTCTTGTAAACCGTTGTTCCAAGGCGCAGTTCTTTCCAGAAAGAATTCCTCTCCTATATTTTTTTATTTATGATTTTAAAATAGTGAATTCCACATTGCATGCTCTGTTACTCCTAAATTATTCAGTAGTGAGAGTGGAAACGTTTATTAATACTGTGAACATTTGTTCACCACGTGTTTTATTGTGGGGACTTAATATTTTACGCAACAACTACTGTCTTCGCAAAGCTGTACATTTTTCGACTGTCAGATGTATAGATCGATATTCGGTACATTTGTGTACGCGTACACACACAAGCACACACACACACACACACTGAGGGACACATAGAAGGATGAAGAGAGAGAGAGAGAGAGAGAGAGAGAGAGAGAGAATAAAGAGAAAGGTTTTCCAAGGCATTGACGTTCAGTATTTGGTGTGGCAGCATCAGGAGAATAACATCTACTGCCTTTGCTATTCCGTCTTATAAACCATTGTTTTAAGAAGGAACTCAAGACTGATCTTTTAAAGACGTTTTAAAATTTTTTTTCAAATATTTTCTAAATATTTTATTCAAAAGCCCCCCTCAAGTGAAATATTTTAAATATTCTGTATAAGAATTTTAGACTTATAATATAATTTATCTGCAAAAAATAATGTATTATTCCGTAAATTGAAGTCTACAGACATAAAAGTTTATATTATTATCATTATTATTATTATTAATCCAAGGTACTCTCCCATTTTTAAAGGTATTCCCCGGTATATTTGAAGTTGCCACAATGTTGGCAGACGACCCGGGCTCATGGTTGATGCACTGTCACGTGGACGACCACGTGGGCGCTGGCATGATTACTGAGTATTTAGTCGAGAAGTCAGAAGATCCTGTGCAATGCTCCAGTGTGGACGATGAGGATGCATAACCAGACCATTACAGCAACGAGGGCCTTTTTAACAAAAACATTCGTCCGAAAATTTGTGGAAGCTTTCAGATGAAAAACAATGATAGAATTCGATTCAAGATTAGTTCATAGTAATTTAAGGGAATAAAGCAAATGTAACCATGCAGTATTAGTTCATTTAAATTAAAATTGGACTGGGCTGATTTAACGTGGAATACAATAGAGTTAAATGAACAAACCATTAACGACCTAGTTTTTTTGTGAAACAAGCAATTCATCCGGGGCTCCGGAGGCCAGAGGGACAGTTCCCTATCCACACCCCCTCAATCAAAATAGAGAAGTAATATCTGATACAGCTGGGCATGCGTATGAAGTCGTATCAATAATGTTATCTTGCTTGAGGTCAGAAACTAAGGATATGCATGCACATATATTTATATAACATAATAATATGGTTAATTATCACAAAAATGTCTACTCCGTGTTTATCAGTTTAAATGAAGGTAGTTTATTTAGTTGACATGGGCTTTTCAGCTCTGAATACAATACAGGTACGTGGATTGGAACCGCGCGTACCTTATTATAATTTATAAATAAAACGATTAAATTCTTGCAACAGGCTAAATTTGTTTATATACTGAAAGGTTCGGACTTGCAATATTTTATAAAAGTTAAGAGGCTTTTTGTCACAGATATACAACTTAGAACCCATTGTTAAAATAATGGAATATATTAAGGTGAAAAGTAACACCAGTCAGTAGTGTACCACAATAGATAAACTTAAAAATGTACCTCATCACCGCAAAATCACCGCAAGTGGTGTATTTGTCAACAATAATGTTTCATCTTCAAACTTTGTTTTCATTTTTTAGTTCCTTTAAACTTTAAAAATTGGTTGGTTTGGCAGATCTAAATGTAAGTACTTTTCAGGTACTAGTATACCAGAAATACCAGATGAAGTTGCCTTGTTGGAAGTATAGTACACTCCTCGGCGTGGTCTCGTTTTTGTGCCTATATAAGCAGAGACATGAAATTGACATCGTGACAAACTTAGGACTAAAAAACGAAGCAATATTCATGGATGGCAATTAAGTATTAAAATGATGTGCAACAGTAGAAGATTGAATAAATCGATATAAATGCGTAGAATACTTCTGTCGAATGCATAAAGATCTAATCTTAAAAAATATCAACCCTTCAAATACTACTGTTAAATGATGTGAATTACAAAAAGAAAGTTTACTGGAAGCTCAGCCCCTCTGTTAAAATAATTATCTCTCGATTTTCAGCATGTGAATTATTTTGAAAGAAACCAGTAGTGTGTGGCTACAGAGGAGTGCATGTGGGTTTACAAGTCCAACGTGATAATTGTTCAAGTGTGTCTTACGCGAGGACATTGTATGACCCCACGTAATGTGTCGCTGAGAAGTTATTTAATTTCTATGAGTTGTTTACAATGTATTAATTGTGAAATATGGCTATCATACAAACATTTGGTATCCCTTTAACTTCTAATGCACCTAAAACATTGACTTTATAACGCGAAAGACTACAGAGTTGAATTTCAAATCTGAAATTAGTCCACTGAGGAGAAATAACCTAAACTAAATTCCTAATACCATATAACAGTAACCCGTTTACTTAATAATATAAATCTATGACTGATAAAAATGAAACGGGACCGGTTTATCTTCTATATCCAAACGATCAGTTATGCTAACGTCCTACGACGGGTGACGATTCTGGAAGGAAAGACGCCCCCCCTAAACACACACACACACACACACACACACACATCACTACGACACAGAAACGGACCGGATAATGAACTTTTGAAATCTGTGGAAAGACAAAAAAAAAAAAAAATGCATGGCACAAAAGAACCATCAAGCAACAGGGGCGGTGTTTTTGACAGTCTTTAAATTTTTTTGGTCAATTCTTTGTTTTTTGACCGTCTTCCGACAGATACCTGTCTATGTAAATCTGACCGTCTTCCAGAAGACCCAGAAGACGGTCTTAAGCCCCTGCAGTAAGGCGACTTATTCCGGCTACCCTCTCAGGTTTGCCTGGTAGGAGTTGGGTGAACTGGACACAAAAAAAAAAAAAAAAAAAAAAAAAAAAATCTGCTAAAGATCTGTGGATCATTCCAGAGCATTGTATAATGACATGTAATAAGTTTAGAATTGTATAAATGTTACAAGTGAAAGGTGTTAAAAGCCATTTACTTTTTGGCTATAATTATAATTGAATACATACATATGGAAAAATATATATCTTATAACGAGTCTTCTATATAAAATTTAGAAGTATGAAATTAGATGCATTAACTACCATTTAAACTGAATTATTATCATGATAATGAGTATTATTCCCTAGTTGTTGTTGTGTATGTATCTCACTAGAACATGGTGAAGTTTTAATTCTCATGAAAATATAAAATATGTACTGACTTCTTAATAATTCCGCCGGGTATTAGGGGCTCTAATCCGACTACAGAAGCGTCTAAATTCGGTTCAGGATTCCGGACTTGGGTTTTAGCCTGGAGAGAAAATCAACTCGACATCACAGCTTAGTTTAAAAAAAATCAAAACTCTTTTTAATTCCCAGGACGTTGCCTGTTTTTATACAAGACGTCGGCGTACAGTATCTAAGTTAGACAAGTCTAAATAAAATTAGTTAAAGTGCAATAACTGCACAGACGTTAAATAAAACCAATTAAAGTTAGATAAGAGCAATTACCATGCTAATACGAGCCGCGTGCCCATGCCCGCGACTTCATTAAAATCAGTAAACATGTCTGGGAAATATTTTGTGGTCTGAACAATGTGCATAATGACTGGGGAGTTGAAGGAATTGAGAAATGAAACCCAGGGGTGAATCCGAGGGGAAGAAGACGTGGAGGCAACGGCGGAAAGAGAGCAGCCTTGCTAAATCACGGTGCCCATATATCCCATTATTTGAGGTCCATATGTCCGTAATAAAAATTCTCCAGTGCAGTGAGAAAAATCGGTGTTAATAATGACTGTACAACAACGCACCGTTGCAGACCATAAACCCCGTCATCTATTACACCAAATAAATTTTAATTAAATTAATGACAAGCCAGGACCAATGAAAATACCCAGATAGTCCGCCAAAGTTTTTCCCTTTAGTTCGTGGTTGATACACGCCAGTATTGTTTTTGTCTTCGGGGAGAACTGAATGGAGCGAACCGTAAGGAAGCACCCCACTAAAATGTAAGTGAATTAACAATCTTGGTTTTTCATAACACCATTCAAAGGATTATCCATAAACGCGGGTGCTGATTAAATAGTTGATAATTTTTCTTCAGTTCACAATGTCGACTTTGACGTCTTCTTTAATTCAAAGCAGCGGATCATTTTCTACCATTAATTATTGAAAGGTTTTTCCTCGATCATTACAAAATGATTATTTCGTGCCCTTGCCTTTAGTAGTCTTTAAATGTGATTCGAGTCTAGAATTTTTCAACTGTTTATTGATGAAAAGTTAAGCAAAGAAATTAAAGTGTGCAAATGCGTAACAAGACTGGGTTGTTTCAAAACTTCAGAATCCGAGCATGTGCACACGTGTGTGTGTGCAAATGTGTGTGTGTGCGTGTGTGTGTGTGTGTGTGGGGGGGGGGTTGTGTGCCTGTGAGCAGAATATTCAGGTTTCCCAATGTTCACATGTTCACAACAGTTTTGAAATCGTCAATGCTGTCGCAGTATAGAACTCCAAAATAATAATATGAAAAAATGGAGTTTCATCTCATGGAGAAAAGTTTTAAAGTCGAACAAAAATACTGCAATGAATCAGAAAAAAATTGAGGTATTTGTGCTTGAAAGAGAGAAAAAACTTTTCCGTTTTAAAATAAAACTACTTGAGTTTTATCTTAAGTAAAAAATGGGCATTCGATGAACAGTCAAATCCTGCTGTTTTCTCGAAAGAACTTATTTCAAGTGGCTACATCACTTTTTGATCAACTAATTATTATTATTATTATTATTGTTATTATTATTATTATTATTCAAGCCCTTATTTTTTGAGTTTTTAATCAATTTGATGCTGTGCACGACTTCACATTCCTGGCAAAACGACCTTGCTGTCAACTGTAACACTATAATGTACCCCACCAAAGGTTAATGCTGATACTTATTCCATTATTCATACCAATTGCAATTACTAGTCCGCAGAGCTCCAAATCACGCCATGTGCGCATGCGAGCATTATTTTAGTTAATAAAACAAGTTTACTTAAGCGTGAGAAAAAGAGAAAAAGAAAGTGATGGTCGACGCTTCTCATGGACATATCATGAATTGAAATTAAGAACGTATACTTTAAATAAAGTAAATCCTTAACGTATAAGAAAATACTTTAATGAATATTCATTTTAAGCATTATTCTTTGGTTGCCCTGAGTAATTTAATTTTTCTAGTAGTGAAATATATGTCGTATACCGCTGTCAATACAATAAGGGGCATCATCAGCGGTGTTGTGTAGTGAGAATATGTCACTGCTTTTCTTCAATTAATATATCTGTAGGTAAATGAATAAAACTACTGTAACTGCTATAATCTTTGTAATTTCCTTTTTACACCAGATGTTCTGCACAAAACATTTACATAGCTGTCAAATTCCATGAAGCGTTAACGTTGGAGAGTTAAACGTGAGGTGGCGCATGTAGCTACATCTCAACCTTAACCGGTGGGACACATTATAAGCATGTAATTAATAGACTAAGACACCGTTAACTGGGGGTAAAAGGCGTTTATGGACCGTGATACATAAAATACATCTTATTTTTACTTCAACAGCAATACCAATGTGAACTTTGCCCAGCGTTGAAACATTTGATGTGAAGTAGGCCTAAATTGGCCAATTAGTTCAAATGTATGAACCATGCTTGTTTAATTTTGTCATAGTAACTGTGGGAGACTCTCGCATAACTTGAGGACAGGACGACTGCATGTCGCCTGGTAGGGCCAGAACAAAATTTTATTGAAATTGTTAAAATATGTGTGGGGTCAGATAAACGCAAGAAATTTCACCAGGGTCGAAGTTTTTGTCCTTAGCGCCATTAGGCAAGAGAACCCATGACCTAAAGCTGGCTTTAAAACTTTTATATTAAATCATTTTGTCTTCATTTATCAAAGATAAGGTGATAAGGTGCTCATTTATATTGACAATGAGCTTTTAAAAAGTAAAGTGATGACTGACGTTTTTCATGGGTTTAAATTATTTTGTATTGAAATGAAGAACAATTTTCGGTGGAAGTGTCTCTGTTAAATAAATTGAATCCTTGCACGCACGTATTAGAAAAACAAATTAATAGAGAGTTCATTTTTAGCACTTTTCCTTGTTGGCCTTGAGAAATTAATTTTTTCCAATCTTGACAAATGATCAACATAGAGCCTGGATATATTTTAAGCAAACTGCTCAAACTGGTTGTTTGAAAGCAAAGAAACGCGCCAACTGTTTAAGGGAATTAAGGTGGTATGCCTCGTTGTCCTCCTAAGAATGGGTTACTTATACTAGTATTGGGGAAGACATATCATTCGTTGTCAAGGCAACATGAAGAGGCATAGGGCTCGTCTCTACCCCAGGTCAGCTGAG